TCAATTCGAAAAACCCCACCCGTACAAAATATATAGAACCGACAAATTCCCTACAGCTACCCCGAATAATGAATAATATCTAAATTATGCAAATATCCACAAAATCCCGAAATAACAACCAAAATCCATAACACAAAAATAACTGCAATCACGTCCAAAACAGCGAGAGAACTGAGGATTTATGTTTCCTACAATCCACCTTCCTTGAGAACAACCTTACACTCAAGGTGGCTTCATTTCGGCTTCTCTTCCTCCTTGACCGCGTCGCCTCCTCCTGGGCCAGCTCCCCGCCCTCATCTTCCCAGTTTGTCACCAACAGCATCAAATGACCCTTAGCACATTGGTGCCCCACCGTGTACCTCTCATTGCTATTGAAACAGAGCCCATCCCTGTGCTTCTGTTCCATCTCTGCTGGGGTCAGCTTCACGAATCCCTTCGGCGGTAGTCGAGCTGGAATGCGTCCACCCTTAGGGTAGCCTGTAGCCACCCGGTTTGTAGCTCCTAGCGTTGAGTTCCTCGCTAGTTGACTCCCTACCGCTCCCGTGGAGTTTGTTCCAACCCAATCGCGCCCACACCAGTTCCGCCTCCACATTTGGACCTATGCCCCATACTTCCCTTCAAGCTAGCCAGTTCTTCTTCCTTCCGACCTGCAAGTTTGAAAACAACTCGAAGAGAATTAGGCTCGAATACTTTGATTGCCGCGGCCAACTCCGGGCGTAGTCCTGCCATACATAGTTCCACCAAAGTCTCATCCGCCATGCCCTTGCATTGGTTCCCCAGTTTGAGGAACTCTGCACGATACTCCTCCACCGACCCTGTCTGCTTCAACTTTTCCAGATGCTCCGGTGCCCACACATCCGCCTTTCTGAACTAATACTTGATCTCCTCTTGAAACATAAGCCATGTGATCACCACCTTGACAGCTACTTAGGATCGCTCCATCCCCTCCAACCACCGCAGAGCATGTCCTTATAGATAGAACGACGCAGTTGCGCCTTCCTCTCCTCCCTCGTTGGGTGGTTTTTGAACCATCTATTCGCCGCATACACCCAACATATCCATAGCCATCAAACTTGGGAAACTCGATAACATGAGGTTTAGCTCAAAAAACGATCCCATCAGTCATATATAAGGATAGTAGTATCCATCATACATGTCTGATCTCGGCCTGAACTGACCGATTCCACCCCCATAGTAGGGCCCATACTCTGGCCCCGAGTGTGGGTGGCAGTTTCCCCCACTTCGTTCCTCCAGGACCCGCCCGACATCTCCCTACATGATCCCAGACCCCTATTCTTGCTCCACCTCAAGTCCACCTCGGTTAGGCTGAACCGTAGGCGTGACCAAGGGCAGATATGGCAAACAGAAGGTCCAGTATGGCCTTGTAGCGGCCCAAGTCCGCCCTCCAAAGTTGTTGCCCGCGACAACCTTGCGCTGATCTGGTTGACCCGGTTCAAAGAGATTCGTTCTGACTCTGGTTTGACCGGTCTGTTCCGATCCGACCCACCTCGACCAGCTCGGGTTGGCTATCCAACCCCTGTTTGCTCCGGTTGGGCCTAGGTCGGTCCATTGGGCCCCATACCCCACTGGCCCAAACCTTTCTTCCTGCACAAGTCAACCCGACCCGCCTCCTCGCAAGTCCGCGTATGGCGGCCCACTGTGATAGCCCGCAACCTTCCCCTTGCCGCGACCCTCCATCACTTCTTGGCCCGGGGGAGTAGGCAACAATCCCGGCCCACCGCCCTGCTGACTCGAACCACGACCCACACGATTACGGTTCGGGAACCCTAACCCGTGGTTTTCCCTGCTTGACGCGCCCCCGCCCTGCAGCAACGCCGCCAGTCGGGCTCGTTCTGCCTCCACCACGTGGCGAGCCGCTTCTTTCGCTTCGGCCGTAGTTACTACCAACACCAATGTCGCATTGGTCTTCGTGTCGATCGCGACAACCTGCGCAAGGCGCCCCACCTTGGTCTCAGCCTCCAGTACCCCATAGCTTGGCGTCAACACTGTTTCTCCCTTCTGTCACGTCTCGACTAGGATCAAGGCGGGCAGGAAGCGTGCATCCGCCTCCGTTATCTGTCGGATGGCTTGCTCCATCTCCTCCATAGTTTCTGTCAGGCTACTCCGAAGTTCCTGGAGGTTGAAGGTCGTCTGATTGATGGTTTTTCTCTTGCTGAACCGCCACGTCTTGCAATGCTTGCAGTAATGCCTCGTGCTTGGTGTAATACTTGACGACCATGGTGTCTTTTGCTTCCTTCAATGTCTTGTCGACCATCTTTTCTACCCCGCACCAACCACGCTCTGATTCCACTAAAGGAAGTACGGATCTAGGCGCGTACGACTAGGATAGAAGTAACGGTCTTGCGAAAGAAACGGGGGATTTAGGGAACATAATTAAGGAGGTAGAGGAAGGTGGGAAAAGGTTCGGCTGCCTCTGTAGGGGAAAAGGGCCCCCGAGTTTGGTCAGGAAAAGAGAAAGAGTTTGAGGGAGGAAGAATTAGGTTTAGGGAATAATAATTCTATTTCTTGCTTAATCCAAAAAACCCCACTCGTACAGAATATATAGAATGACAAATTCTCTACAGCTACCCCGAAGAATGAATAATATCCAAATTATGCAAATATCCCCAAAATCCCTAAATAACAACCAAAATCCATAAAACAGAAATAACTGCAATCACGTCCCAAAATGCGAGAGAACTGAGGATTCATGTTTCCTACAATGCATCATCTCTATCTCTAAACCATGCTAATCACCAAATTCCATACAAGTCTACTCACCTTAGAATTAAGTTGCTTCCCTGCGGATTGTTTTACTATCCAATTAAGATACTATTCAAAGTTTATATAGGAGTTACAGACACTATGAATCAATTGTAGACTACCCTTCAACCCTTTAGAAAAAAACCCACATTAAAAAAAAAAATACGTGGGATATGGTTTCCTATGTTGCACCACACAACATACATTTACCATTATCAATCTTCTCTCGTAGTTTTAGCTTGCCTTTTGTAATAACTGCATTCCTAGTTACCAACCAACTGATAAAGCTATGACGAGGAACAGAGTGTTGTGTCCAAATCAAGCTACCATACCAAGGCACCCAGGCCTATGCACTTGTAGAATACCATAATGTCTTCACATAGTATTTTTAACATACGTATATTGTTTCAGGAAACCACAGTCTATTAGCAGGTGTAGAAACTTCCAAAGTTGTCTCTAGTCTTCAACATCTTTCTCAATATCCATGAACTACAACTACTTATAGTGAGCACGCAGAAGAAGGAAATCTTAATCTTATACATATGCATCATGTTACCCACCAAGACCCATCGTTGGTCAGTATGTTCCATATATGCCTTGTAGTGCAACATTCCAAGTAATTAAACATTTGATACCCAGTCTCAACTCTCAATCTTATATCTAGAACATAATCATATCATACTACTTACATCATAATTAATTAACTGGACTTTACCAGCATAACTAAGTAGTCTTGGTTTCCAACTTGAACTAGTAGCAATTAACTTCTATGCATTAGAGTAACTCCAAGATATCTAACAAACAATGTGGCCTTCTTAAACCCTACCATACCTGATAAAAATTCATGCATTTCTTCAAAAATGTCAGCACGTACGGTTGGCTCTTTTCTGGGTTAAACCTGATTACATACAGGATACATAACCTATGTAACCAGTTGCAAACATTTCTTACTACCTTTTCCGATCCATTAGAAAAAAAATCAAAAGGTCATTAACAAACACTATATGTGTCATACCCAGCTTCTTGCACCTACGGTGATAGGGAAAATCACCTGAATCAACAGCCCTTTTGAGAACACATGAAAAATCTTCCATTTTTGTTATTGGGAAAAGGAAGGGAGAGTGGGTTTGCCTTTCTCAGTTGCCTTTCATAGAGAAATAACCATGTACACCTCTATTAACAGTTACACACGGCACAGGAGGTGTAATTCAAGTTTGAATCCAATCAACAAACTATAGAGGAATCCTCATTGCCTTCATAACAATCAACAAAAAAGTACAATCCACTTAATCAAAGGTCTTCATTAGGTAAATTTTCAGTGTACACATAGGATATGTATATGCATTTTTGTATGGTCATTTACTAGTTTTGATGCCATTATTATGTTATCACTAATACTTTTATCTTTGACAAATGTTGATTGGCTCCTACTGATTAGGCTACACATTTAAAATTTACAGCCTATTAGCTAGTATTTTGCAATGCACTTAAGGAGAACATCGCAACAAGAAATGGGCCTAAGAAGTTTCACGTGATTAGCATAGGGTACCTTAGGTATTAGGGGTGGCATAGTCAAGTTAATTTATCTTCGAATATAACCACTTTCAAAAAATGAGCTAATTGTTCTTGTAACTTCCTCACTCACCAAGCTCCTAGTAGCGTTGTAAAAAAACTCTATTGAATATCCATCGGGGCCGGGAGCTAGCACACATAATGAATAGTACATCATGAATATCTTCCATAATAACACTTTGACATAAAATTGTTTCTTCAGCAGCAAGAAGGTGATGAATAGAAAGTTACCTCATTTTGCCTTTTGACCATGTAGCAAAATTTACTTGTTTTAGAAGCTTTTTATATAATTCAACTAATGACACTCAATTATAGTGTTTATCATTCCCATTCTTGATACATTCTCTCCTTCTATAAATGCTTTTTAGTAGTTTTGATGATTTATCATATGGAAATCATAACTATTTGAATAATGTGCTTATGATAGACCTTAAGTGTGTTTGTATACTATTTGATGCCTTTATAGTGTTTCATTATGCTTTTCAAAGTTAAAAACCACTCAAGATCAATAAGGATCACGAAAGGGCCAAATGGATTAGAAGGAGGAGAATAGAAACTCATAGGCTCGAACAGAGATGGATTTTGAACATTGGATGCTCACTTTATGGCCCAAACAAGAGAATCTGGTAGTATAAATGTTAGCACTCTGCCCTAGGGGCACGAGTTAGAAATCCATAGAAAGGAGGCGAAGCCCTGCTGGAGCTCGACAATGAGCTTTCACCATCAATGGATATATCATTGGTAATGTCTTCCTATTATTCTATGCATGGCTAAACTTGAAATTGTTTAGGTAGTGACTCTTTGATTCTTTATATACTATTTTCTATGATTCAATGATATGCCTATTGTGTTTAATGTCTTTACCATTGATGCTTGAATTAATTTATGCATTTATCATCTATTGCTCATTCATTTGATGCTTTAGTTATTGTTTACTTGAGTAGTTTTGTGCGGGTGACTCTAATTGTATGCTACTATATCACCATGCTTACTATTATCTAGGTTGTCAAGAAATTACCATCTAGTGATATCCCATCAATGCTAGCATCAAAGATGAAGAGCTAGAGAAAATACTAGAAGATTTCCATATAATTGAGGAGCCTCCCAAAGCCTATAAAGGAAGTTCCAATGAAGTGCGTAAAGGGTTTGAAGAGATCAATGTGCAAGAAGGGCTTATGAATCATAAAGATTCCATGGACCATGAAAAAAGGGTAGAAAATCTCAATGCTAACAAAGAGAAAGATAGAGAGATTGTGGAGCATGGAAAGGAGGATCAACATGAGGCGAACGAATTTGAGGAGGAGGAAGAAGAAGACGAGTTTATTACTCAATCTTTGAAAGAAGAAGGCAAGAGACCCTCTCAAGAATATGCAATGGACGAAAAAGCTACTCCCAACTCAATGAAAACATCTTACAAGCAGAGCCGTCCCATGATATTTAGAGGCCCTGTTCGAAAATTTAACATGTGACCCCTAATTTTTTTCTCAATAAATTTATTAAAAATAAAATTTATTAAATAATTATAAAGTAAATAAGTTCAGAAAATGATTTCAAAATGAATAAACAATCTCACTTCCTGTTTGACCAAGAAACCAAGACCAAATTCTCACTCCTAGCAGGGAGGAAGAAAAGTAAATCTGGAGGGAACAGAAAATGGATATAGAGAAAAAATTTGAATGGGGAAATGAAAATAATATAAATTGATCGAGAGGTGGGTGCGGGTCTATCTAATGGATCGTGTAGGCCGTATTCCAAAATTGAGACATGATCCAAATTGACTTTTAACTATAATAAAACTAAAATGATTATAATACCATTATTCAAAATGTTATATCTTTCTTTATTGTTTAAATTAAAATTATCTATTATCTCTCTGATTCTCGTATTCTCCATGAGATCCTTTTCAATTGTTATTATAGCTAAAATTATCTATTAAATTCATCATCATATTCATAATCTATCAATCATACACTAAAAAACAACCTGCAATATTCGATCGGTAACTAACGAATCTAAGTGGAGGCCCCTAATATTTGGAGGCCCAAAAAACAACCTGCAATATTTGATCGGTAACTAACGAATCTAAGTGGAGGCCCCTAATATTCGGAGGTCCTGTGCTGGAGGGCGGGCCGGCACACCCTCTAGGCCGGCCCTGCTTACAAACCATGTAGATCATGATCAATCATCTTCAACCTTTCCAAGAAGGGAAAGATAATCAACCTATCAAAGAACCTCAAGAAGCATATCATAAGAAGACCAAAGAAATTTATGTTGAAGATGATGATCTTAAACTTATGAAGAAGGAGAGGATGCAATAGATCCCCAAGGAGCAACAATGGAGGAAGAAGGATGCAACATTGACCAACGTATACTAATCCAAACCTTTTTGGATTCGTGGAAAGATGTTGAGGGCTTCACACCACATGAAGGATTTGAACACTTTCTACGCCTTCTTCAATTTGAATCAAGAAGTACTCCACCTACCAAGGGTTCCACCATTGAAAAAATCCAAGAGGAAGAGTTTAAGCACGATGACCCCCCTGCACCTTTGATCCAAAGTTCAACAAAACCCCTTTGGAACCGAGCCTTGAAGAAGACATCGTGGAGGAGAATTCAAACAAGGCTGATCAAACTCAAATGGATGAATAAAGAGAGGAGCCACTAGAGGAGCAACCATCTAAACCTATCTAACTAAAGGATGAGCTTCAAGAGGATCCCCCTATAAGAAATGTTCACGACCAGATTAAAATGTAATCCAACTTAGGACAGGATCAAGATGCCTCCACCATACAAGATATCATGGAGGATTTCATCAAAAAATAAATATCAACTATATAAATAGAGGAAACTTCAAGCCACACTCTTCATGAGTTCAACTCGAGTTGGGAGGAGGAATTTGACGAATATTGCAACTTCGATCTTGAAGAAGAAGGAACCTCTACAAAAATGGAAGAATAGCAAGGAGTAGCCATCCCGCCTACCCTAAGCAATGATGCTCTATGCATAGAAGAAACAAGCTTTGAAGTGGATGGATCCCTTCAAGATTACTTTACATCATCTTCTCAAAGTTCTGTACAAAACTTTTGAACAAGAGAAAGAAAGGGTTGAGTAAGAAGATTTCACCATTCATGAGGTCACTCTTGGTGAGAAGATGGAGAATGATATTCCTAAAGTTGGAGACCATGAATAAAAACTCAAAATCAAGGTGGAGATGAATCAAGAGTCAAGCCAAATCTCAATCGACTGCTTGATGAAGATCCATTTGTAGCATTTCTGGACAACCATGAGACTGCGGTGTCAATATCTAACCCAAAGAGGGTAATATTTGAATCCTTGCTTGTATCGTTACCTCTAAAACATGCTTAAAGTTCAAAATTCAAAATATGGGGTAAAAGGTGCAAGGTGGAGACAAAGGTGGCTATTGCTTCATGGTCCACTATCAAGTCAAAGAAAGAAGAAGGATGGTACACACTTGGAGCCTGCAATCAAAATCATGGACTTCAAGTAAGCCTTAAGTTGGGGGCCTTAAAGGATAAGAAGATATGCATAGCCAAAGGAATAAAAGAAAGAGCACTTCATGGGAGGCAACCCATGTTTGCATCCAAATTAAGGGTGTAAAGTAAAACTGCTACTAAGGAGACAGTCCAGATTTCATTCTCTTGATCATCATCATCTACTTACACTCTATCATAACAATCTTGCTAAAGGTAATTTCAGATTTTAATAGATTAACCTGCTGACCATACTCCTTCTCATAGATATGAAGAATCCCCTTTAGTTTAGCACGTTTCTTCTCTGTAGCATTGATGAAAACTATACTATCGTCAGCAAAGAAAAGATGAGATGCAATCGAGGCACAATTTCATATTCTGACTCCATGAATCTCCCTTTTTCCTTGGATTTCTTTATGAAAGCAGATTAACCTTTTGCATAGAGTAGAAAAAGGAGACAGAGGGTATCTTTATCTCATACCTCTATAAGGGAAAACATCTGCCTATTCGTGATAACAAGAAAAAAATAGGAGAATGTTGAAACACACATCTTAACTCAACTTATCCATTTTTTTGTTGAACCCCATCTTCCTCGTCACTCCTTCTAAAAAATTATATTTGATCGGTCGTATGCTTTAGCTATATCCAATTTAACAGTTGCAAACACTCAAATGCTGATATAATGTTGGCTGAGGTAATAAGGGTTAGTCTTCGAAATAAGGGTTATTAGAGTATGATTTACTTATTGAAGGGTTATTAGAGTCTTGTAAATAGATCAGCAAAGTATTTGTTAACTCACTCCATACTTTCTTGTTGCTCTTCATAGATTCGTCCGTCATCCATTAGCATCTTCTTTAATGTATTTCTTTTTCTATGAGTTGTGGCTTTCGAATGAAAGAAATTAGTGTTCTTGTCCCCATACCTAAGCCATTTCATCCTTGATCTTTGTGGCCACATCATTTCTTTCTTGAAGTTCAAATATGATCTTTCTGCTACAAGAGACTGTCTTGTTCGATGAGTTGTTCGGTCTTCGGCTAATATTGCAACATTTTCATCTTCTTCTTGATCTTCTTCGGCTTTTCACTAATAATACCATATTTTTTTGCTACTGATTAATAAATCTTTTTCACATGTCTGAAGGATGCTAAAAAAATTGTTTCCAAATATTCTCAATAAGCTCTTTGCACTTCGGATCTTCCATCCAATACGATTCCACCCTGAAAAGGAAACCCCATCTAATCTCATCTTCATTCTCTACTATATTATCCATCGAAATAATTTTTGGTTAGATCCCCACGTGTCTAGGTGTGAGACAAGATGTTTTGGAAAGAGCTTAATCCATTCCATTTGAGCCACAAACATTTTTTAGCCTTTCTTCAATTGACCTTTCACCTGCTCTACTATTGTTCCAAGTGAACAGATACCCCTTGAATCCACAATCAGCAATACCACACTCATTAAGGATATCTCTGAAATCGAAGGCCAAATCTTCATCAATGAGTCTACCTCCCTTGTTTTCAGCACCCACTAATATCTTATTGAAGTCTCCCATGCACAGCCATAGTAAATCAATCCTATGTGCTCCCCGGTTGTTTCCACCCTCAATAATGGCAAAGCTAAAGATTATTTTTCAACGTAGAAGGGTCTCCGCCACTTTCTCCCGAACTTTTCTCTCTTGTTATGGATGTTTTGTCCTTCATGATGAGTAAGATGCTGGAGGCCTGGAAAATCGGAGGGTTTTGCATGGACGAGAATAGAGGTATTGGGGAAGAATACTTCTTTTCGCAGACGATAACTTGCTCTTTTTTTATGCATCTTATAATCAAGTTTTGAGCATCATGGCCACTCTTGCTTGCTTCCAAGTTGTCTCAGGCCTCAGGATCAACCTTGATAAATCGGTGATGTTTACTATCAGCGATATTCCTAACCCGGACTTTTTTGCTACAATAGTGGGGTGCAAATGGAGTAACGAGCTTTTCAAGTATCTCGGTTTCCCTCTTGGATCTAAGGTGAATGCATTAGAGACTTGGGATCCCATTATATCAAGCTCAAAACTTCCTTCTTGCATGCCTGCTCCGGAGAGAAGTACCAGCAGAAGCTCGAAGGGTGGAAGGCCAATTTTATGTCTTTAGAGGTAGATTAGTGCTCAACCAGACAGTTTTGTGTATCCAGCCAACCTACTATTTTTCATTGCTCAAAGCCCAAGCCGAGGTGGTTCATCGAATTGAAAAGATCCAAAGGAGATTTCTCATGAGCGATATGTCTGTCTGATAATCAAACGATTCCCCTTGTGAGATGGGACTTGTGCAAAGCTTCTAAGGAGAACGGTGGTATTGGGATCATTGACATCAAAAGCTTTCACAAAGTCATGCTTGCCAAATGGCTTTGGAGATTTGCTTCCAAGAATAGCACTTGGTGGATGGAGCTGATTAAGATAAAATATCCTGATGACCAGTGAATTTGGTAAAGCGACAGATGTAAAAGCGGCTTCTCGAACTCAGTTTGGGCTAACATTACTAGAGAATACAAGCCATTCTGAAAATTTACTTATAATGACCCCAGAGGGGGTGCCTGGGTTTCTTTGTAGAGAGATTGCTGGATCCCGAACGTGATCCTCGCATATACATTCTTGCATGTCGTCGCTACCGCCTCGTCCCCGGATGCTTGGGTCTCTGACATCGCAGACAATTCAGGTGAGAACTTCATTTGGAACCTTAATTTAAACTTCAATCTAAGAGGAGGCAGAGAGGGAGAGGGTTGCTTTGATTAGTCTTAATAATTCTACTGACTGTCGTGTTGCTTGCGGATCAAGTCAGGTCGTTTGGACTCCTCTTCCCGAGTCTTCTTTTTCTGTGAAGTCTATCTACATGTCATTGATTAGCGTCCAAATTCAATGAGTGGACGCCTTCCCAGCCGAGTTCGTATGGAGGAAGATCATCCCTTCCAAGATTTGTGGTTTTGCCTGGCTGGTGGTGCACAAGAAACTACTACCTCGGTGAGCCGGACTGGCTGCTCCATGTTGGTTCCTTTCCTAGCTGCTCGCCTCTACTTCTTCAGCTTGTTGAGTTGGGTTTGCTTTGTAGCTGCTCACGCAATTGGGTCGAGCACAGGGGTGACCTGATCCATCTAGTGCTTTTGTGTTGCGTTTTTGTCTTCTTTCCTTGTTGTTTGGCTTCTTGTTTCTCATGGACCAGGATCAATGCTCTTGATCCATGATCTTACTTTGTTTTCTTAACGTTTTCCGTATTAATATTATCATCGTCATTATAAAAAAAATCCCATCCGAGATGTTTATCCTTCCTGTCTTGGTGGCTGTAAATTCCTGTGAACCGACACAACGGTTCACCTTCCAGATTGGTATACTCCTAAAGTATACGGTACTTGGGCACTTGTATTAAAATATCTCTATCTCAAGTTTGTAGTATGATATTATACCTTTATTTTTCATGGATAAAACCCATGTCCCGATTCCCTACACACAAATTGAATATTAATTTAATAAAAATAATAATCAATGATTCTAATTTGTCAAAATATAACCAATTATAACAACCAGATCGCTTGGAGTATGATATACTATAGGAGGACACTAGTTGTTACCATTTATATAATATGAGTACTCTTGAAGTAAGCGATACTCTAGGGACTTCTAGTGAGATATCTCTATCTAGATCATGAATTAAATCTTGGTATTGTTATTTTTTATATGAAGTAAATAAAAAATCGTGAAGACAAATATACTCTTCTTACTTTCACTCTCGTTGTGGGAAATTTGAAATGGAGCAAACCAAACCCTTTAATATGTATTATAACAGTCTAGATTTATTTAAGTTAAAAATAATAACCGATATATGTGTACAAATGGGTGTATATTATATATAAAAAGTACGCTAACCTTTTTGTTCATTCATATTTAGGATATTCTAATAAATTTTCCTAGCAATTTTCAATCTTTTTTTTTACTTGGGTCGGGTAGGGTACCCGTGGGTTCGTATTTTGTTGTCATCCCTATTGGTAATGATATGAAAGAGAGGCAAAATTCGAGGATAGAGTACGAACAAAGAAGAATGGATGTTCAAGAGGTGATGTTAGAGCATGAGAAAGAGGAATGGGCGCACAAGTGGCAAGTGAGGGAGCGTGAAGCGGAAAAGTGGATTGTTGAGAAGAAAGAGAGGGAAGCCCAAATACTTCATGAAAACATGGAAGAATTTATCAAAGCTAACACCGAAAAGAAGAAGTTTTGGAGAAGTAAACAAAATGACATCTTGGGGTACGATCAATATGATCCCAACTCTAATCCAAGTGATGGCGGAGATGGAGGAAGTGATTATTATCCTGTTATGGATTATTGACAAAAGAAGATCTTATGGATACTCTATTTTCTTTATTATTTTCATGTGTTGTGTGTTGTCTTTGAACTTCATTCTTTTCATGTGTTATGTGTACTGTTTGAACTTTGTTATTTTCATGTGTGATAAAAACTAGTGTTATTGAAACATGTTGACTACTACAAGACAAGTTTTAGTGAAGCATGAAATACAAACTACCAAACAACATAAAATAAAATTAAAAATGAAACATGAAATACAATCTACCATTAAAAAAGACTAGTTATTGTCATGCAAATTTCAAAGATGCTCAACCAAGTCAGTTCGGAGCACATGATGTGTTGTTAGAGAGCGAATCATGTTATTTCTATCCAAATAATCAATCAAAGTTGGAATGTGTCGGTTGACTAGTTGAGGTTGCTCATGGACCTCATAATAAATGCATGTCAACATGATATTATTATATGTGGCAACATCCAAACCTCTTGCAGGGTCACACACAATTGTCCATCTTGTTTGACCATGGATTGTTGAAGGTCTTCACTAAAGTCGACAATGAGGAATAGATACCGTCAATCAAATAATAACATTGATCATAAGCATGACCATTTACATCAAATAGTACATGTGGAGCACTTATATTGACGATACGATCAAACAGTGAGACATCCCCAAAACACTTATATTGGTGTCTGATCCAACTGACCCAAGGAGAGCGTGTTGTATCCATGTGTTGTATAAGGCCACCGACTTGAGAATGATTGTTGGCCTACGCATGTGGCCAGTGTAGAGTCCTACCCAACCACTTGAACAGTTCCTCTATTCCCAATGCATGCATTCAATAGGTTTAAACATCCCCAAAAAGCCACAACTTGAGGATTTACGAAGTAAGATCCTTAAATTAACTAGAATTGGTGTGCGAAGGTATGTGGTCTCATACATGTTGATAACGTTGTTGAAAAAATTTATGGAAATAGTGATACTTGACCAAGGCCATCACGCCTTAGCACAAATGAGGGGTCAAACCTCACAATGTCACCCATAATGTGATGGAATAACCTTGGTTGCAACCTTTAGAGCCTTATGAATATGTGGGCATTGAAAACCATATTTGGATCGAAGTAAATCATCCTCATAAGACGTCGATTAGATTCGACCATTTCGTGATCAATGTGAGTTTGACTTGTAGTTTGACGTTGGTTAGATGAGCCTTCGGTCAACTTCCAATTGATTAAACTCAAACGTAGGTGGTGATACCTTTTTTATTCTTTGATTTCATCGTCTCCTCCAGACGATGAGCTATCTGAGATACTCATGATGAATGTGTTTGTTTTAGAAATGAGGAGAATTTTCGAATGAATTAAATGACAAATGAAGATGATCATTTATAAATTCATATGGTCACAAAATGACAAAAGGACATAAGGTAACGACTACAAAAAAATGTCATATTTGGATCGGTCTCTTAATTATCTGCAACAAATTGACGACTAATTTTGTGAAATTTTAAAAATCACATCAAGTTTTTTCAAAATTAATAATGAATACTGATATGATGTAATCAAATTATTTTGTCAAACATAAGACTTCACACCAACATCATATCAACATCATATCACTATGGCAAGTCTTCACAATACTCATCTCACGAGTCATCATGATCTTACCACTATGGTATCACTGAAAACATCATCATGCCATTGTCATATTATCATGATATGACAGGTGTATGATGACATATCTCTTTCGATTTAACTTGAAAAATTACTATTCTACAATTAAAGAAGTCATTAATTATAAGCTATACAATGATATCTTTTTTTGTCAATAGCTCACTTGCATTACCAAGAAGAAAGATATATAGTTTTCAACACAAAGCTCACCCAAGAGTTTAAATCAAATCCCGAAATACTCATAAGACACAATAAAAGGCCTTTTTCAGCCACAAAATGAGCCACCCGATTGCTTTGCCTACCTACAAATCGGATAAAAAAATCTCAAATACGCTGCTTCCAGCCATTAATCTCAAGAAGGATTGCATCTGTTGCATCCATCGTCATCCCCACTTAAATCTTCTTGATGACTACTTTCGCATCACCTTGAAATACAATCCCTTGAATATTGCGACTGGAGCACCATCTAATTGCATCCCAAAAGATCACCATCTACACTAAGTATGGATCCACAAGCCCTGCATGGAAAAATCCCTTTGAAAATAAAATGCTACCCGCCTAATCCATAACTACAAGGCCATCAAATCCATGTGATATTTCCATACAAATTGTTTCTAACACAAACCCAAAGAACACCCCATCCCCACTCAGCGCTTGCGAGATCCCATTAACGGGGAGAGGCAGAGGACACAGACCACACCCTACTTCAATGGCACCCCACTCCTGGATTTGGAAATTATGTTGGCCGAGGAGGACAGCAGTGGTGTATTGCATACCATCAAAAGTAGCCTAGTTGCTCGATTTCCATATACTCCAAAGAACACGTATTTGCTTGTTTTAATCTTATCATTATCGTATCATGATTTTACCACTATGGTAAGACGAATTGCACATCTTATCACTATCATATCATGATTGTCACTATAATATAGTAATGGTATGATGTCATCAAAATATTTTTCAAACATAAGACTTCATACCACAATGGTAAGATTTCACAATACCCATCTCACCAGTCAGATCATGATCTTATCACTACGGTAAAACTAACAGCATCATCATACCTAGGGCTATAAACGAGCCGAGTCAAGTCGATTTTTTTCTTAACTTGCGCTCGGCACGTTTAAAATAAATTCAGCTCGAACACAAATTTTGATAATCCAGCTCGAGCTCGGCTTGAATAAAAATAATCTAGCTCGAGCTCGACTCGGTAGAGCTCGATAAATGCTCATTAACACAGCTTGTCAAGCTGAGTACAAGCTCAGCTCAAGATGAGCTCAATTGGAAATCATTCTTACCAAAAAAATATGTGAACATAAGAATTCAAATGATAAAAAGAACACCAGAAACTAAAATTAGCATCTAACTTCCATACACATCTGTATTAACAAGATGATGTTGATGTTCAAAAGAGTAATTAATCCTTCCACGAGCTTTAAATAAGGAAGCTTGCAAGCTTAGCTCAACAAGTCGCCGAGTCAAGCTATCTCACGAGCTTATCAAGCTGAGCATGGTCTAGCTCAAGCTTGGCTCGTTTACTAATGAGTTGGCTCGCAAAACGGCTTGTTAAATAACGAGTCGAGTGTTGAACGAGTTTTTTCCGATTCGAAAGCCGAATTGCTTGCGAGTGGCTTGGCTCATTTGCAGTCATAATCATACCACTTTCAGTGGTAATATAGTGATATGAAAGTGGTATGATTTGACATAAAAAAAATTTCAAAATGGATATCATCTAGATGACCTAAAAAAATTATATTTAGACGCAAAACTTCTTGAAATCCAATGTAAAACCAATTAACTATAATCCATTGAATTTTTGAAGAAAATTTGAAAACCCCCTTTAACAACACGTCAGGAAATTCTCTTCGGGCCCAAAAATCTAGTCAGGTCTCTCCTAAATATAATACTCCCCTCCTTACCCTTTAATATGGATCAATAGATTTCTCATTCCCAATTTAAAATCATTAGATATGATTTTGTAGTATTGCAAATAGGAATAGTTTTATATACGAACCTAAACTTGATTATAATATTGTAATAAAAACTAAAAAAATTATTCTAATTTATGTCTAACAAGATGCATCACTGTTCATGGACAGAGGTCGATTTTTACAGTAGTTAAGACCGTGAAAATAACTCACCAACCGTGATCTTGTGCAAAACAGTGAGTTTTGACAAAGTGGAATTGCCCTTCGAGATCACGGTCTTCGCCTCATTATCACGTTCCGGTGAACGTGATGATAGAGCTAAAACCGTGAACTGATGAAAAATAGGGCATTTTCCAAATTTTTAAGACTCGATCTAGTCAACCTTGCCCGTAACTCAATCACAAAACATCCAAAACATTCAAACACACAACTCTGGCACGGTGATCACCATTAAACCACTTGAACTGATCACTCGTTCACAAAAAGAGAAAATAAGGGGGCAAAAACAAACCTACGTTGGGTTGCCTCCCAACAAACGCTAGTTTAACATTCCTAGCTTGACATTGCGAATCCTTCATGCTTGAGAGCACAAGGCCTCCGAGAGTGGATCCGCCACGGTCTCGGGGCAAGGCTTGTCACCTCCCATCTTAATCTCCAAAGGACAGCGCTCTTGGTCGGGCACTATCACCTTACCTTTATCCTTCTTTTGGGTAAAGGCGTGACTCATCTTTGCACGCCACGCTTTATTTTTCCTCCCTTTGGGTTTGGTACCCGCCTTAGGTCCCTGTTTCACATCATCATAAGGAGCAAGAGTACTAGTGGGGTTCGCCTTGAGTGGCTCACCTCCGCTTCCAAACATACCATCCGATTCCAATTCCTTAACATCATCATTCTTACTCTTAGGATAAAAAAAGGTAATTTGCTCCTCTCCATATCTCAAGATCAAAGTACCCTCATTAACATCAATTAAAGCCTTGGCGGTGGTATGGAAAGAGCGTCCTAGTATGAGGGGCATATAAGCATTTTCACTTATATCAACGATAATCTAATCCGTCAGATAATAAAATGTGCCCACCCTCACTACGTCTTCCACAATACCCCGAGGGCTAATCACTAAGCGGTCATCTGACACGCTAAAACACAACACCTGACAATGGCCAAGTGTAACCAATGAAAGGACTGCAGTATAGTGGCTCAAGTAATAAATATCGAATCCACGGGTCTCTAGAGTTACTATTACTCAGCTTCAGTTCACTATCTAGCAAACTAGATTAAGATGGAAGAACTAAAACTACTCTAACAAACTACAGTTAAAGTTAATCTAATTACAGGTTGGGAACTCACTTAGGTAAGATTCCCCCTAGCCACTAGCCAGATTAATGATTGATGATCTCTAACCTGTTTCACTTTCATTCACAATGCGGAGAATCCTTGACTAGACCTTGAGTCTCGACTAAAGGAACAAGGCCCTCTTGAGTCAATTGCCTAGAGGGACGTATCCTTCTCTAGAAAAACCGATCAAGGCGTTCTGAACTAGACTCCCTCTATCGAAAGAGGTTCTCAATCGATACAAAGCAGTGAATCAACCCTCGACTAAAGCAATCGATCCAATACTATCAATCTATGATGCTCTATTGACCTAATCAGGTATCTCTCTCATAGGATCAAAGCAGAATTGAATCATGAAAACGTGCATAGATTGAATATGAACTCAAGATTATCAAGTAATAGTACTCATACAATCATCCAATCAAACAAACATAGCTAGGGTACCTCAAAACCTAAGTGAAGGGAAGTTACTCCATAGAGAAGAGGGAGACTGCAGTAAGAATCTTCAGATGATCAGTCTTCAAGTCCGGGCTTGTTCCTCGAGCTTCCAAGGCTAAGAAATCCTCCAATTCCACTCTTAGAATGACCTCAAATCGCCCTCTCTCTCTCTCTCTCTCTCTCTCTCTCTCTCTCTCTCTCTCTCTTTGGTTCGTCCCTTGGGTGTTTGGGATCCAAAACCCAGCTCTCCCTTTCCTTTGGCTTCAATCTGCCTAAAAAACCTTATTCTGGGCAAAACACGGTCGAGGACACGGCCGTGTTTTACTTTTGCCCGCCCATGTTTTGCCCCAGCAGCCCTCGTCGGCCAAAACACGATTGTGCCTAAATATGGACACGGCCGTGTTTTTCTTTAGGCCACCCCGTGTTTTTACTGTCGAACCTGTTCCCCTATATTCAATGCTTTGTTTCTCCCTCGTCCGGACTCCAAATCCGTCGCCGTTTGATCCCAGACGCTTGTAGTCTTGTCCTCTTTCTTTTAATGACAAACTTGCATGATTATTTGTCCATAAATTGAGGTAGAAATATATTCTTCTTCAGGTCATGCCCGAGTTTCTTCTCCCTAATCGCCAATTGATCTCTGATTGACTTGAAACTTGTGCCTATGCTTCACTTTATGTGCTAGGACCTGAAATGTGACAAAGGAACACAACCTAGCGTAAAATAAGCCAAAGGCGTGATAAGTAAAGCTCAAACAGTCAAGAAACAAAGGGGAAAACATGTGCAAATATCGAGTCATCATCAGCCAATGTTACACTCAACCTAGTGGGTTTTAATTCACCTAGGTTCAATTTTTTGTATAGTTTAAAGGGCATGATATTAATGTTTTCTCCTAAATACGCAAATGAATTTTCTATATGGCATGTTCCAATGCAAAGAGGGATAGTGAAACTACCTGGATTTTTTTGTTTTTGGGCAACTTGTTCAGAATGAAGGCCGAGCACTCCTCGTCAAAGGTGATGGTTGTGAGATCTTCATAATTTTGCTTCTTTGCAAGAAGCCCCTTTAGGTATTTGGCATACCTTGGCATGTACGTCATGGCCTCCAAGAAAGGAATTGAAATGTGGAGCTTCTTGAGCTTCTCCGTGAACTTTTCACACTCCGCCTCCAACCGGTCTTTGTGCACCCTTGTAGAGAAAGAGAGAGGAAGCTCGTACTCAGCCACTAGTGGTGGCATTGGAAATGCCTTCTTAACCTCTCCACCCTCTCCTTCCGAGAGTTCTAGTTCATCGACCTTTGGAGGGGAATTTTCTTCTTCAATTACCTCCTTAGCAACAACCTCCAAAGTTACCTTCCTGCTCCTAAAGAGAATAGCATTGCAATCGGTATTTTGATCTTTGGGGTTGACAATAGTTTGGGAAGGTAAAGCTCCCATTGGCCTCTCGGTAAGGATCCCGACAAGATTTTTGATTTGAGTTTCCAAGTTTTGAAGACTCGTTAATAGCTCCTTAGACCCCCCCCCCCCTTAACCGAAGTAAACTTGTGTGTTGCTACATCCATGAATAGCTCAATCTTCTCGAACTTCTGTGAGCTTGTAATCACAAAGGTGGTAACTAGGTCTTCAATTGTTGTTGTTGGAAGTTTGAACCTTGGAATTGGGGGCTTTGTTGAATGAAAGGAGGCATTGGTTGATAGTTCCCCATTGGACCTTGGAATTCGGGGGTCTTGCTCGGGCAAGACCAAGCGAAGCTTGGATGGTTTCGCCACCCCGGATTGTAAGTATTGCTATAGGGGTTGTTGTTGTTGTTTCTCCTAGCATTGGCAATGAAGCTTACTTGCTCTTTCGAGGGTGCTTGCTTCCTTCATCAATTGGCACTCCGCAATCTCATGGTTGGTACTCGAACACCAATCACACGACGTCACTGGCTTCTTCCCTTGCTTCTTATCCTCAAGAATTGCAGTTATCAACTGGTCGATCTTTTCAGCAAGCGGAGAACTAGCTTCAGTGGAGTGTACTCCTCTCTCGGCACCCCTTCCACCACGTCTCATTAAACCCCAATCATACACCTTCGCCACCATATCTTTAAGCAAAGCGGTCATCTCGAGTGGAGTCCTGTTAATCAAGTTCCCTTGACATAGTGATTAAATGATAATCTTGTCTTCTTGGAGAAGACCGTCATAGAAGGTTTCAATCCGAAATTGCTCTTTAAACCTGTGATGTGGGCATTGGAAGAAAAAGTCAAAGTACCACTCTCATTCATCCCTCAATGTCTCAAATTTCCTCTTGAGCGAAGTAGGTGACCTTCTTGTGCCACTCTGTCGTCGTGGAAGGTGGAAAATATTGGGCCATGAACTTGTTGAGAAAGTCTTCCCATGAAGTAATCGAGAAAGGTGGTCTATTATTGAGCCACCAGAGCGCTTTCACCGCAAGAGAGTAGGGGAAAAGCCTCAACATCATAGTCTCTTCGAATACCCCGTTGATCTTCAAACTTCCCGCAATCTCGGTGAATCTCTGGATGTGCTACCTTGGAAACTCATCCTTAAGCATGTGGAACTGGATATTGTTCTGGATCATTGTGACGAGGTCGGGTTTGCTCTCGAAATTGTTGACGGCCACGGGTGGATGTAAATAGGTCAGTTGGATATCTCCGTCCGTGGAGCCATATAGTAGTCCATGGTCCCCGATTCCTCATTTTCCTCTTGGGCGTTATGATTCTCCGCCATCTCGGCTCACTTCCTTCCTCTTCCTCCGATTCAACTTCCTCCTCAACTACAACTTCTTCTTCAACTTAGGGACCAACTTGTAGTTGTCCCCTCTCCTCTATCCTTCTTCCTGCTTTCTCCATCTCCCTCTCCCGAGCCAAGAGTAAATGTTTTTGAACACTAATTGAGAAGACTTCACCCTGGTGTTGCTCCCCCTAGCTAGTGATTACGATTTGTTGAACCGAATGCAAATGTGTGATAAAAGCGGTTGTAAACCGTAGGGAAGCGCAACAAGTGAACAAGCTTCACTCTCTCGGTCACTAGGCCAAGGGATATCAAATCAAGCTACCAAAGTAGCTCTCTTGGCCAGTCAACTGAGGGTTGCTTGTGCTTCTCCCTCGAACTGTAGTCCATATGGCCAAGATACAACCTACACAAGGTGCTAATACATAGTATGAGGTTTGATCTAATTTGACCTGAGTAGGTGATTCAATTTGGTCAAAGAATTCCAGCTATTGAAAGCCTCTTAACAAGAAGGGGATTTCCCTCTACCTAGGTCAAATTGGCATAAGAGTTGGAAATCGAAAACACAACATAAACTTCATGAAAATACCTCAATACTTGTATTAAAACACAACCACACACAAATTATTCAATTCATACAAACATTCACATAATTTTAGCTAGGGTTCACAATCACACAAATGAAAGAAAGGACTACTTCATGCTAAGATGTGAGAATACACAAAGGAGAAGAGAAGAGACCATCATAAGAGGGTTGCCTTCTTCCTTTGGTGAGAAGATCAACCTTGGAAGATGAGATTCCCAAATCTTAGAGTTTGGATGAAACCCTAACCTTCTTCTCTTCTCTTTTTTGTCACTTTCTCTCTCTAGAAATCTGAAGAAGAAGTTTTCTACACTAGGCTCTCCCCTTCGTTCCGCTCAAATCCCTTTTTATACACAGATCAACGGCTTTTCACGGTCCCAGTTCACGGCCATGAACTCTAAGTCTGGGCCGTGATCCTGAGCAAAAGCGCGTCGTTCCATTAACGATCTTCAAGGTCTGGAGTGGATTATCACGGTTGAGCAATGTAGTCAAAATCGCGCTTTCAAACTTAAAAACTTACGATTTTACGTTCACAACAAGAAAAACTATCTACAACGACTAAATATCGAGACATATACGGTATTTGTTTCTAAAAGTATATTATATACAACAAATTGAAAATCTGTCACCGTAAGTCTAATTATATGTCTCTATAAATATTGTATATACCACAGATACGCAATGTGTGTAGATATGTTTGACTATATGCCTTTTTTAATACTAATATCTTTTAAGATTGAATTCACGTCTAATAAATTATCCAATAACAAAAAGATGTTTACTAAAATTTTATTCTAACCTTTTTTGCTCGTGAACTTTAGAGACAAATAATTATGAGCACTTCTACTACGCTATATAGTATTGGTGCTTTAATGTACAATTTAAAGTTGTACCATAACATTAAATGTATAAGTTTAGGTTGTACCATAAAACAATTTGTATCATTATGTTATGGTACAACTTTACAACTTGAAGTTGTACCATCACATAAAGGTACAAGTTCAAGTTGTACCATAAAAGAATTTGTATCAAAAGTATAGGTACAATCTGTTGTTGTACCATAACATAAATGTATAATTTTAAGTTGTACCATAAAGACAAAAACCTATAGCAGCAATACTATATAGCATTGTAAAATTTCTCAATAATTATACGTCCAAAACTGAAAAGTTTAAGAGACAAAAATAAGTGTTACTATTGCCTTAAACAGTTAAACATAATCAATAATGTTAATACCTTTT